ACAACCAGCACCAATCACCATCAACGGGAGAGATTTAACAGAGGTTGCCTCATTCACTTATCTAGGAAGCATCGTTCCAACTGCAGGTGGGCAGAACGGACAAAGATGTCAAAGTCAGAATCGGAAAGGCAAGATACGCCTTCATCAACCTGAAACCAGTTCGGAAATCTTCTACACTCAGCATAAGGAACAAGATTCGCATTTTCAACACCAATGTCAAGTCGTCCTTCTATACGGGTCGGAAACTTGCACTGCGTGTCACGAAAAGGATTTCCGACAGACTACTGCAGACTTTCATCAACATCTGCCTTCGCTGCCTACATATTGAAGGTCAAATGGCCGGCTGGCCAGAAGTAATTAGCAAGAAGAAACTCTGGCTGGGAACAATGCAACCAAGAGCCAATCACTCAACAAATTTGTAGGAGAAAATGGAAGTGGGTCGGGCATACACTGGGGAGGCCGTCGAATGACATCGCACGCGTGTAACCCAAATGGGAAGCAACGAGTGGGTCGTGGGTTGGGGGTGACATGGAGGAGATCGTGTGAGAGGAGATGGGAGAATTTGGTCAGTCGTGAACCCAGCTCAAGAGGATGGCAGAAAACAGAATAAAGTAGAGATATGTTGTTGAAGCCCTATGTTCCACTCGGAACCCAAGAGAATAATACTATGATAATAAGAATTAGAATAAAATGTAGAATAATAATACTAATAATAATAACAGGCAATAAGTAAAAAATATTACCATGGTAGATTCACTGTGACCACCATTTCCTTCTGTACGCAGAAACCGGATTAATAAACTCTAATTTCACATAGCTCCCCAAATGATAGCAGACAATCGGCTTTCCGTAAGACCTATATATTTGCTCCCACAGACGCACTCAAACTGATATACGCTCTATGAAGTGTCAATGACTGATGATAGGTCCTTCTCAGAGTGTTGAAGTACCTACTTGGTGTTGTCAAGGAAGACACGTTTTGCAGCTTAATAACTTCTCCTGATAGCTCCATTTGACTACTTCTTCTAGGTCATCTATTTCAGATGGTAAATTGAAACTGCTTGGATAGTTTTATTGGGAGGAGGGTGGGTATTTCCTTAGAGTTTATTGATGAACCTCTCAGGACATCCATTCTTAGTCAGAATATCCTTTAGAGTCTTTATTACATATTCAATTGTACTGTCAGAAGAAAGACATTCACACATGTTGTTTTGTAAAATTGATTCAATGTAGTTTATTTGCTTATCAGTCATGTAGTCTAATAGTGTATACATCCTTGTATGTAAAGTATTCAGCTGGAGAGTCCTGCCACAATTCAATGAATTCATTAAATTCTGCTTAATTAATCTTTATTGCTTGTTTTAAGCTCCTTATGTTGGTCATATAGGATAACTATTGTCCATTTTCGTTCGATTTGGGACTTTAATTTCAATTCATAATTCAGTTCATGCCGAGTTGAATGACTCCCCAATCCGCCTACCTACTCTAAGGAAAAAATATTTATTCAAGTTGAATTTCCTGATTGTCGTCTTAAGAAACTGTCATTGGTAAGGTGAATCAAGTCAGCACGAAAAGTAAATATCCTCCAACCTGTAAACTAACAATTATGATAGTAGTTGCGAAGTGTCAGTCTATACTTTAAAGTCGAGTTATTGAAGTAGCGCATGATAAGCACATGAATAGTTGTGATAAACTCTTATTTTTCCTTCTCCAAGTAACTGAGGGTGTTGCCTCTTAAGAACTCTGAGATCATAAGAGAACAGCTATCCACAACATTACTGAAATTGTACTGTACCGAAATTCCCTGTCTCAGTCGACATATCGGCTGTAATTCCATATTCTCCATCATGTCTAAATCTTACGATCATTCCATATTAGATAGGTTTATCTGACATAACACACAGCGATACACTGTGTCAATAACTGGATGACGTTTGGAACACAATTTATTGCTGTTCATATTCATATCAATGTATTCGCGTAGCTTCATAATTTGCTTTATATGATATTCTCTTTTCCCCTTCCCGTTTATTGCGATTTCCCTTATATCCGGCATAGGTATTTCATCATCTCGATTCCACTTGTCTGGTGCTGACTCGATGAAAAAAGACTCAGTGATTAACCTGTCACTTCACGTAACTATATTACTTTGTTATCCTGTCACACTGTCCCACTCTATAGTATGAATACATGCAAGTGAATGGGTTTTAACAGTCGAGCTGTATTCTAGGTTATTCAACTTATTACAGTCCATCACTCTACCTCTCCCTAAACCTCCATGTTCCTGTGATTTAACTGACCCCAATTCGCTACTTTCACCTATGAAATTGACGTCACAGTCATTACATGATTTTCGGTAAATTATGTTATTTATCCTAATTCGATTTATCGGGTCTTAAATTGGGCAAACTTTGAGACTGAGTAGGTTAGTAGGCTTATACACCACCTTAATTCCAAGCCTATTTTAAGAGTCTTATGTAGGGCCAGTGATGTTCCCTCTTTTATGTGGCAGCTCTGTTATCATCCCATTATCAATACTACATCACTGTACATGTTCAGTGAAATGAACTCATGGAATATGGAATCAAATCCCACTGGAACATTAAATATGAGTTATCAGTAAGAAACTTAACATTTCTGTTTAATATAACTGACCAATGGGAAGTATTATATATAAATAACTCTATCACCAATTGGCTTTCATCCTCGGTAGTTTAGTCTTCTTCTTCTCCTCCCTTCTTCTTATTCCTTTACGTTCCCAGTGGAACATACGGGGCTTCAAGCTAGAGGCTTGAAGTTTCGGTAGCAGTGGTGTTTGTTTTAATGGAATGGAGTTGTTAGCCTGATGCCCAACCTTCCCTCTTGACCAGTCTTACTACTAGCTTAGCGAGGTAAAGGAGTGCATCGGCTGGGGATTGAACCCTGACCCAACTGCATGGTTGGCGAGCATTCTACCTCTGTGCAATCGATGCCAAAAGCTTAGTGAATGACACTTTTTTGGACTGATACAATTCTGTTTCGCACTAAACGAACGACTAGATGCATGACATTACCGACATTACCTAGTGTCCAATCAAAGTAACCAGTAATGTCCTACAGGAGGTTAGTGGCAAGCCTAAAAAGCTCAATGGTAACGTTTCTCCAACTGCAGCACTGGGTGACACAGGTTGGAATCTCAAAAGGGACTTGAGTTCCTTCAAGACTGCAGATACGCCTTGCTGACTGGTGAGTGCTGAGAAGCACAAAACCCAGCTCCAAGACTTCTTTCAGATGGCTTCTAACCATCTAATAACCATACCTTTATAGAGTTTGAAAGGATGGCCATCAAGTCTATGTCCATTGGAAACATTGCCAATCTTGATGTGGTTGTGTTCTCTGAGGTGGATAGTTAATTTGAGAAGCTTTCATCGCGCTACTAGGCGACATCTTCAGCGCATACTTCAATTTGTTGAAGTGAGCTTTTAGATTTCTCCACGAGTTTATTAATCATCCCTCCCGGTGACCTTGAACGTGATTGGTTGTTTTGTGTGTTTTCACACCTTCTAGGTTACTTGTATTTTAACTCATTGTTTCTTTGACTTGAACTTTGACCCTTTGTATGTGAGGTTTCTTCCTTATCGGTTGATAAATTTTGTCTATCTCGATGTGTCTATTGATTGATGATTCACTGGAATGCCAAGCTTCTAAAAATTCTCTAGCATTCTTGTTGTTTCCTCTGTCTAATATTTAAACGTTGTCCCAGTCGAACTGATGTCCGTGGTTGTCTGTATGTAGCGATATGAGGGAGTGGATATCATGTCTTTTGACGGCTAGTTTATGATCGTGGATACGAAGACGAAGGGGACGTCCACTTTGGCCAATGTAGTGTTTTTCGCAGTTGATACAATCTATTTTGTAGATGATGTTGGTTTTATCTTCTTTCGCTGTTGAGTCTTTTGGTTGACATAGAATTGAGTGAAGTGATTTTGTTGGTTTGTGTACGACGTCAATTCCTAAAGGTTTGAAGAATCTTGTAGTGATTTCTGATATATCCTTTATATATGGCAGGGCGATTTTCTTTGTGCTTTCCTTGGGGGCTTTTGGTTTGATAGGTTGGCTTGGAGGTATATATCTTTTGATGAAATTCCGTGGATATCCATTCTTTTGGAAGGTGTCCATGAGATATTTTTCTCCAATTTTCCTTGAGGTGGGAGTGCTGCAATGAGTCCTGGCCCTCTTGGATAGTGTTTGTATGCAATTCCTCTTGTGTGTTATTGGATTGTTGCTGTTGTAATTCAGGATTTGGTCTGTGTGAGTTGATTTTCTATAGACTTGAGTTTCTAATTCCCCTGTGGTTGTTCGTTTGACTAAGACATCCAAAAATAGGATTTTTTCTCGGATTCCTCTTCTCTTGTGAATTTGATGTCGTTGAAGACGTTGTTTATCAGGTTGTGAGTTTTATCTATCTCGTTTCTTTTGATAATTACAAATGTGTCGTCTACGTAACGTATCCAAATCTTGGGTTTGATCTTTGGTAGAATTATGTTTTCGAGCCTTTGCATCACTGCTTCTGCAATCAAACCTGATATTGGCGATCCCACAGGTGTTCCTTTGACTTTGAACAAGTCAAAATCTGAAAAGCTCAATGGTAACGTCTCTCCAGCTGCAGCCCTGGGCTGGAATCTCAAAAGTAACATGAATTTCTTCAAGACTGCAGATACGCCTTGCTGACAGGTCAGTGCTGAGAAGCACAAAACCCAACTCTAACCATCTAATAACACCACCTTTATAGAGTTTGAAAGGATGGATATCAAGTTTATGTCTCATTATAAACATTGCCAATCTTCTTCAACGGGGATGCAGTTACATCCATCCATCCATCCATCTGACCATTAGACCTTCCGAAAATTAAATAAACTTATTACCTTCAGTTATGAAATATTTATTACACAAACATGTTTAGTCTTGTTTTTCTACAATCCATGAATAGCTAAAATAAAAAACTGAAAAGTTTAAGCAACATTTTCACAAGTGTTTTACTCTATTAAACAGTTATTTTTTACTGTCAAAAGTGAATTAATCATTATTTTCAAGTTCAACAATTAACAAATATACAACAGCCAACTAACTGATTAGTGCCTGACTCCGATGGATAAGTTTCTATAAAATTCACCATAATAAGTCACAAAATAACACCACAGTACTTAGTGGTTCCTATAATTCTGTGAAATATATAAAGATTTATGCAAATGACTAGTGGAATGCTAAAAGTATATGAACACAAATGTATATGAAGCAGATATGAGTGTTTAAGAATTGAAAAAAGATAATATTACTGGTAAATAGAGAGTTAGTAAGTGGTATGTGGATACCGATTGAGGATAAGGTACCATATCCATATATATATCCACCGATTGTGTGTGTATGTGTGTCGTTGTGTTGACTTTTGTCATGAAGTGTACACAACTCCTTGAAGACGACTACTACTATTACTTAAAAAGCAGTTATATCAGCGAATTGTGAAGGTGGAGGTGGTGGTAGGGCTTGACTCAATGGTGGAGGAGGGGGTGGCGGCAGTTGTAATGTTGATGAATATGACATTGTAGCTGGAAGTGTTGATGAACTCATACGAATTCTATTATTATTATTACTATTATTATTATGATAGTCATTCACAGTGGTCAATACTCCAGGTTTATATGTTGAGTAATTATTCTCACTGTGATTACGTAATGCATAATTGTCATTTTGATTAGTACAATCATTATTTAATCTTGTTAATCTATCAAAATATCCATTACTCATATAACTATCATGAAGTGAAGAGGATAGACAATTATAAGAAGGTTGTATATACTTGGAATAATGTTCATTAATATTGTTCCCATTCGTAGTAATAGAAGTAGTGTTAGCAATACCAACACCGTTATTGTTCATAGTGGTCACCATATTGACACCAAATGTTGAATGTTCATTGTAGGCATTGTTTGAATTATGATGAGGTGGATTAAAGCTATTCATTACAGGGTCATTAGAATTCTCTTCAAAGCCTTCACCATAATTTCCAGTATCTAACAATGCCAATGGTTTCAATGTTGGTACATAACACGATGTAGGCTGTTTCATACCATTCCAATGCATATTGTAACGATTAGACATGTAGAAATTTCTTGGAATTGTAGCAAATCCATTCTCAGTGAGTAAATCACTATGATGTCCAGTATTACTGATTGATGAATGTCGAAAAGGTTGGGGACGAGGATGACTCTGAGAATTGGAATGATGCAATGGATTAGGATAATAATTTGGTAAGGATGTCATATCATCCATTCCATAGCGTCCGTCTAGATTTGATGTTTGTAAGTGAGATTCTCGAAAGGTGTTTATATAATCCCCACCACCACCACCACCAACAGTGTCACGGATATTTGTACCACCGGGATAGATTCGATAGTCTATACTGTCAAAATTATTTAGGCTTGTTGGAGATTGATCAACGGATGCCCATCTTCTTGTTGGTTTATAATAACAGTCAGAGTCTGAACTGATAATGTTAGAGATATTTGATCTGAAATAGTAAAAAGGAGAATTTTAAAATTAATTTTTAAAAAACATTAGAGAAAATTTTGAGGCTAGTCAGCACGAATGGCTCATTAGTGATCTCTTTGACTGCAAAACTAGGCGAAGAGGCGTTCAAATTACCACGTGGAAATCATGCTTTTCGAGCTTACAAACAGACATTTCTGAATGGTGATGGTAAGTTTGGAGTCTAAGTCTAATCAAGACTTCCTGCGGGCCGTCTCCACCCATCTAATATCCATTTAAAGTACACTACAAAAAGGGGAGTTGGCACCCACGTCGTATGACTGTAACATTCTCGGGATAAACCCAACTGAATGGTAACTGAATAACGTATTATCATCACATCAGACACTAATGATAGTCCTCTTGTGTCACCTGTAATCATTCTGAATAAGGATGAGAGGAACAAGCTGTCCATCGGTGATGAGCCTTTCTGTGACCACCATTTGATTGGTAGACTACAGACACTGACAACTTTACCCACGCATATAGTTTCAACATCATTTTTGTGATTACTGTTAAGCTACTTATTAGTAGAATGATAACGTTTTAAACAAATTTTCAAGAGTCAGGTTGTTGCGATTTGATCTGTTTGAAGGAGACTGTTTCGTCCCTGCTGGAGACTTTTCAGCGGTACACGCCCCCGGAAAGATCTTACATCATTCAGCCGCTGTGATTCGATCCGATGGCCAAATTATGAATCCCAACTTCTACCATTTCGCTATTTTAGCGCTACCTGTAGCCAATATCATCGGTGCGTATTTGTCCCCATACTTGTGACTTGGTGGATCCCACTGACCACGACGTCTCACTAGAACTCACGTCAACTTCGTTCTGTAGCCGGCCATAGAGAGTATCATATTAATTTCCAAGAGTGGTGATCACGCTAAAATCACCAATTGGTAGAAACTGGAATTCATGAGCTGGCCGTTGGATTTGCTTCCAGTGACTGAATGGTCTACCAGGTTGCCTTGGGAACTGAAGGACCTGGGTTTGAACTCCGACGTTTGTCTACTGTCGGAAAGTCCCAGACTAGAACGAAACAGCCGTCAGGTATTTCCTGATTTCAGTGGTTTTAAACAAAGTTTATGCAGGAAACGTATGCTTTGCTTTAAATAAACCTCCGAATCTTTGATGAGATTCCACAATAGAGATTTTAGTCACTTTAAAGCAAATGAGACTTTCTTGTCCTAAAAATCAATGAAACTGTTGAGAATAGGGTTACTGACTAGTTTTTTTGGCCTGTTTGATCGGCTGTCTTAATAATTATGACTGCGCGACATAGTTTCGAATCTCCGAACAAAATATTGGCCTAGCCAGAGGTTCCGTTGATTATCTACAAACTGTCTAACATCATTTCCGTTGGTGTTCACCAATGATTACAAACTTGACTGATATGGCAGTTAGTTAGCACTAAAATCCAGATATATAATACTGATTATACCCTAGTTATAAATCGGTGTATCGATTACCCGACCTACAGTGACTGACTAATTAGTTTCAAAAAAGAACTCTGCACAGAACTGCAGCAGTTCAAGTTGCCATACTCCATGAATCATACATAGGAAGATAACAGAGAGAATACATGGCATTCAAAAGGACGAGAATAAGCAGAAATTTGAGGGAGAAAGAACACTACCTTGGGAAAACAATAGGATTTAATGGATAGGATGCATCTGAGCCGCCGACAACGATTTCGAGGCATATCACCTGCTGTCTGCACTCACTGATTATTAGAATCCCCAACTAGAAAGCTTTCGCCTGCCTGCATGGCTCAAAATAACCGTCAAGGATTTCATGGACTGATTCCAGGTTTCGGTTTGATCACCACTATCTCTTTTCCAACCTTTAAAGCCTCATCGATTGAATTTCCCTACATATCTAACACTCGACTCCCAAACTCAATATTACTCACTATATGATGCCATCCGAATTACAGAATGTAAGTCAGTTAGTCAGTCAGTCAGGAGGTCAAATAACTCAGTGGTAATGTCTCTCAATGTACCACTGGATGACACAAGCGTCTAGTATCAACTCATTATACAAAACAGACCTAGCAGATATATATATGTGTATATACATCATGTTTTCCGGAATGAATACTGTTTATTAACGAGTAAGTCATCAGATATGGAACAATTTAAAATTCCAGAGTTGACAGAAAACAGATGTTCGGCAAGTATGGAATTCAATGACATTTACTTTAATCTAAAACACATTAAAATTTCATGCTACTAAATTGAATATGAATACCCTAATCCTGTGTGGACTAATATATTTCCTATTTCTTAGTTTTAAGTGTACAAAATATAGGATAAAAAATAATAATTTACATTGTTAGTTCTTTGAATAACTGGAGGTTACTAGCAAAAATACAGGGCTTAAGCGGCACACCTTTATTCCACTCTGTTCTCCGCAGTCCTTTTTTTACATGTCTCTACGATTTTTCGTAAGCTTTCATCTCCTCCTCTTATGATCTCCTCCACGACACCTTCGGTTCCATGCTTAACTCATTTCTCATCCGGTTACCACTTGAGAGTGTGCCTGACCTGTTATGTCACTCAGCTGTCTTCTTAGTGGATGTGCAGTCCATCTCAATTTCTCTCTTAAGGTTATATTACGTAATGAGTATAATGTCTAACCATTTGAACATTTATCTACTAATTGCAGTAGTTCATCAGTAAGATGTATCTGTAACCTTGAAAGAATTGCCCTCTCCATTTGTCATGGCCTTAAATGAGGCTAATCATGAGGTTAAACATTTTATTGTTAACGACGCTTACTACAGCGCTGAGTGGTACAGGGTTGAATCAGCTTAAGGATTGCAGATTCGCTTTGTTGATAAGTATCAGCAAGCTTGGAACCTATGTGGAAAGCTTCTAAATATTTGTCTGTAACCGATTAACATTCCTTCAAGGTGCGCCACGACAGTAAGTCACCTATCTTAGTGACCACAGTGTAAATTGATGCAACCCGGTCACCACTAACGCTACAATGAACTGGACACATTAAAATTATTCTGGAATAAAAAAAGAAATCTTGTTTATCTTTCGTATCAACTTACTTTTTATTTTCTTTCGGTTTACGACGAACAAGACATAAAACTAATCCAATACATCCTGTGCTCACAGTTAAAATAAGAATTATTCCAACTGAAGACAGAATGACGATTCTTTTCACATTCTAAAAGAAACAATAATGTAAAACTGTAAGAATATTTTTTAACAAAGACGATATCACTTTTTGAGCGCTGTACAATTTTATATCACACAGATGTCTACACGAAAGTGATTGGATGGTGTTATCGGATAAAGAGAAATTTAATCTGATCCCTTTCATAATCGTTTTAAGCATACACACACTGACTGGATATTTACACATGCACACACATACATTCCAGTCTTTTGCAAAACTCACAACTGAATACGATGACATCCCGTGGAGAAACTACTCGAGTGATCCCTCGCCCCAATTATTATTTGGTCAATTTCAGCTGTTAAATTTTCGTGTCGAAACCATATCAGTTAGAGGGATCACTGAAAACTAGAGAGTGAGTACTGGACAGCTGTTTCAACTCTGATTTTGGGACTCTTCATCAGCACGAACACACCACCCAACCCTCCAATGATCGAATTCAGAATTTTCAGACTACAAGAACAAGCGTGTTGACCATTAAGCAACTTCGGGGGGCTGTGATTCAATGAGTTTCTAACCTTGTCAACTCGTGATATACTGCTGCGTTCACCAGTGCCTTCGATGAGCATCGAGTTCACTTCGACATGATGCACTCCAATGGTCACACGACTTCCGACTGTAGCTTTAGGAAATCTATCCAGTAGACATCAGTTACCTGGCGACTGATATCCAGGTTATAGAATTTATGAGGATTTTGGATTAATTTCGATTCTTCGATTTCCGCCAGGAACAAACATCAGTTGGAATTGACAAAGTTAGAATCCATGAGTCCTCACAGATCTTGTAATCTGAATATTTCGCTAATGATGCCTAGCGGTGGTATCGAGGATACATATTTCTTCCTATTTGGAACACATCATCTGCTAGATATACTTGCATCTTCAGTCAGTCAGAGAATGTGTTCCCACTGAGACGTGGACTCAGAACCCATCGTTTCAAACGCCGAAGAGTTATCCACTAGGCCACACCGAAACCTGAAAAAGAGGGAAGCGTTCGCATGAAGTTCGCAATCCCACCCTGTAAAAATGGCACCCTATATTCCACTCAAGGAACGAAGAAGGTAAAACAAGAAGACATTAATTATTTTAGACACACAAAGATTGAAATCTGATAAAGGATAACAAACGCTATACAGATACTCCCATCCGGGTTCATTGAGATTGTCTGCTTCGTCCTGGTCCTACACTCTCTTCAAAAGTTCATACTTAAGCTATTTCATTACTACATAATATCATTGTTAGTTGAAAAAGCAGTTAGTGGTTAGATAACCATCGAGTTAAGTGTTTTGCACTGGTCAGAGTCAACGAATCTCTAAATTATGGTCAAACTCATAACTGTGTTTCTTAAAAGTCGGAAAACGTCCGTACTAGGAGCTTACATGTCAAAAGAGACCCAGCATTCTGGTCTAGTATAATCAATCAAAGGGAAATACAAATAAAAAACTGAAAGCCATTGCACAAGAAGTGACTGTCGTTGCTTATTAGCCTAATAGATAACTTTTTGGCGTTTGAAACAATGAGGAGTGAGTTAGGATCTCAGTGAGAAGACAGTTACCTAATGGGTATGCAGGTTTATTCAGCTCACCAGTCTCAAAATGGGACGGAATGCACATTCGGGAATCCACTGCTAGCTGCCATTGGCGGAATAGCATGATTCTATGTCACTCAACTGGGGACCGAACCCACAACACTTATGTTTACGAGGCAAACTCGTCGCCCACTCTGCCACTGCGTTCCAATCCAATGACCCGTAAATTCTAACTTCAGTCAATTCGCGTTAGACAGAGGCTAGGCCAACCATTGGTGTTGGCGAATATCTGTCCACACACACACACAACTTGCTGGACAGCATTGTTCATGAAATTCTTATTAGAAATTCAGAACACCCATGATGAAACTAAACATTAACAAGCAGATTGACTGAGAGTCAAACTTTGACTTTCTAGAGATTTTAGTCAGTTTCAATATACTTTTTTTTCAAGAACCTAGTGGAGTCGCGCTTGCTACTCAAGTGTCCCGAAGTAAGACGAAGCAGATGTCTAATGCACCGTCGTTTTCTAACCAGTGTTAGTTCGTGACAAGATTCACAGTGGAACTAGTCAAAATCTCTAGTTTGAATCATACAGACTTCCTCCAGGTTACATTGATATTACTGAAACTATCAAGTTCCATGACGTCAGATATACAGTTGGAAATTTTAAAGTATTTGTTAAGAAACAACGGATTCATTAGTTAAGGGCTGACCGACAGACTGAGTTTCAGCGTAGAACTTTGCACAGAAGTGCACTTTTCCAAGTTGCCACACTGCAGGTATCACACAAAGGCAGAAGAGGCAAAGAGAAAAAAAGGATTCAAAAGAATGATAACAAGCAGAAATGTGAGGGAGGGATATAGGAAATCCCAAAGAGCGAATGCATCTATGCTACTCAGAATGATTTTGAGCCATATCACTAATTGTCTCCAGCCAATGATGCTTAGGTTCCCAAGGGTCACAACTGGCTAAGCAGTCTACAACTCCCTACTTGGATGGCTCAAACTAAGTGTCAAAAATACCATGAACTGATTCCAAGTCTTAGCTTGACCATCACTAGCTCTTTTCCAACCTGATCGATTCTATGTCAGCTAACATTTCCCGTCAAGGAAGGCGATGACAAGGTATACGTGACACATGTCGTAACCATCTCAATCGATGGAACTGCACAAACTCGTCGACTGAATTTCCCTCTTTGCCTAACACTCAACGTCTAACCTCAATATTACTCACTCTGTTACACATCATAACACGGGAGATCAAACACAGACATCTGTGATCAAAGGCAGCTAGCCTTTTCATGTCTTCCACTTTCAATGGCCATATCTCACAGCCGCAGAGGAGGCTAGAAAGAACTGCTGAACAGTACACACATCCTTTGACCGATAGTTGGATATCACGTTTACGCTAGAGATGATGTGAGTTAACATATGTCACACGGGGTTTTCGTATCCGTAATGAGATTTCGTTGGCAATCAGTTCTTTAGGGCGATATGGTCAACACCCTACGCCACTTCACCCTCACCCCTCCACCCACCTTCAAACTAGTAGTCGGTGCAGTCAAGTCCAGCAGCATCATCTTACACTTTAAAGGATCAAATCATATGCCAAACTTTCGAAGATTTATACCCAAGGTGTTCAGAAGACTCTGCATTTTATCAGCGTCTTTACCTCGGATAATGGTGATGATTCACCAACGATATAATGTAAGTAGAACCATACCACTATTATCATAATTTACAAGACAATACAATCCTAACTGTTTAGCCTAACGTGTTATCACTCTTCCTGTTGTTTATTAAATGAAAGTACCCCTCGATATCAACGAAATCAGCACATTCTATAGTATGCATACACACACGCACATAGGGACACGTAGATATTCATGAATCCATTGTTTAACTACATTACATAATGACTAGAACAGAATGATTACTATTATTATTATCTATTTTAATTGATCTTTTAATGTTTATATATATAAACAAAGTAACGTTTAACTTTATGTGTTCAATTGTCAACGAACGGTAATCAGTTATCACGCACTCCATTACATGCACACACACATACACACATGTACATATAGATTGTTTTTACGAAACATCAAAATGATAATTCAGTTTGTATTAAAACATGTATGAACACTTTCCATTATTCTTCAATACTATTATTATGATTATTATTATTACCATTACCATTAAATACGTTTACAGTTAGTTTCATTTCACATTATATACACAATGCATATTATTAAATTTAACCTGATTTTCACATAGTAGTTGGATTTTTGACTAAAAACATTTACAATACATTGAAAGTAATGTTCATGCATATTAATTTGGAATATAAGGTTTATTATTACTATCAAACATATAGAAAATACAGGATTGATCACAAACTGACATCAGTTGGAGAACCATTGCCTAACTTGGTGTCCAGAGAACAGATACCCGACTGTGACATTGGCTGGCGGTTGCCGCGTATATGGCGAACTGACAGAAGATGGTTTACAAGCCTAACTTGTAACCAGAAGGTTCTTAGTTCGAATCCCGGTGGGTACGTGATGCGTTCGAACCTTGGACCTTCTGGTTACAAGGCAAGCTGCTCGTAGACCATTAAACCACTATGACCCGATCAAGACGTAGCGCGACCACTAGCCAATGTCGCTAATTTCTTCCATGAATCCATGTGTCTGGCTACAAGAGTATTAACGAGTTATTTTAGCAACACTTCCTATTTGGATACATAGAGTTGACTTGAATTATTTGCATCGATAATAATTCAGCCATACCCACCCATGATTTCTTGATCTCACTCCCTCTGAATGATTTGAGTGAGACCTTTTATAAGACTTCGGAAGGCTTTCTTTAATAAGAGCTGAGTGTTTCCTGCGTTAAAACGATGTTCTGTTATCCAATGCCTGACACACTTTAGTTCTGCCTTTTACTAGCCAGGCTTGATAATGATCCCTTGACCTCAGCTCCACAGAAGCAGGTGAACAAGTATATACTTGTTGATATGGCCCAACTCAGCAGCTAGTCGAATAGTTTCTTATGCTGATAACGAATTATATTTTACTGAGAGATTTTCAAAACTGTTTTAGGGACAATTTCTGCTTCAGTATCACTTTCAAATTTGAGATTCAGTAGCGGAATCATTTCGATGGTTATTTGAACCTGTTCGGCAGCTCTGTTTGAAAAAAGTCTTCAAGATTCTACACGAGAGCCGATTAAACCTTTCAAAAAGGAGCGAGATCAAAACACCTGGATATGAAAACAAACGGTTGCGTGAAAAGAGTTCTCTATGAAACATACTTATCGTCTGGGGGTTGATAAAACTATCCCGTTATCTAGGTTCATCTGACTGAAAGTCAAGTGCCTAAACAAATAAGTCATATCTCCATGAGACTGTGTTGAAATTAGACAGTTACCACTACCCACCATAGTCGTTAATTCACCAACAACACTTCCAGAAATGCAGGAATAAAACATTAAAACATAATATCCAAATATGAGAAATCACAATAAAGCCTTAAAAATTCTGTTTAGATGAAACACGGACACTACTTGCCAATCTCATTAGTCTAGTAAGAGTAAACTGACTAACCCTCATTTCGATGCTAAATAGCTCAACGCTTCTCTCTTTGTTTATATGACTACTTGATATTTATTAGTAATGAAATGTGTAAAACCGACTGATATGCAGATTATTTATTGATTTCTCGGGGATATATCTTTTCGAAGTAGGAATCTACAGATATCAATTTAAGTAAGACACTTGCTCATTCCTAGCGATCCGAGTTGAACACAGGGACTCAAGCTTTACAGTTACAGTAGAGAAGGTGGTTTTGTTTTCAAGAGGTAGGGTCGCCAGCCCCAAATCCAACCTTCCCACTTTTCTGAGCTCACTACGGGTTAGTAAACTAAGTGAGTTTTAGGCGTCCATCGGCGGTGAATCAAACCCTGAACTTCCGGGTGGTTGGCAAGCATTCTACAGTGGAACCATTGATGTCACAGAAAGACACTTCTGTTCCCTAATATTTGACCCCAAGTATTCAGCAGGGAGCTTTAACCATTGAAGTAACCTTCCTAGCTATTTGAGTATCCAGCAGCCTTAATTAAAGACTGCAAAGAATTTTATAAGTCAATATCGAGATGGAAGTATGATTTTGGCTAACACCTGAGGATTAAATTGTTCGTCATACTCCAAAATGATACTTTCCACAGACCCAAGCATTTTCTATTTCCTCGAATAGATGAATGGACAAGAAACGGCAAAATTTGAAGACAGTTCCTTTGGCTTGAAATCGCCTCCAACCAATGGGTTTTGGGTTCAACTAACACATCTTCAATCAGTTGATATCATAAACCAACCCCCCCCCCACAAAACACGCACTAAATATGGCTCATGACGTCGAATTTTATTGGAAATACTTATATCGCATAACAGCAAGGTACACTCAACTGCTAATTCACTTAAATAATTTTATACAGATATTAAATCAACTCTTGTTTGAATACAATGTCCAGACAAATTTAAAATTAAGCGCCAAGAACGTTGCTTTCCATTTGTTTTAGAAAAACAAACTGATTGCCATATTTATGTTATCTTTTTCCTTTTATTCTAGGTGCAATTATTATTGAAAACATGCAAAGAAGTAACAATTCCGCATTACATGATGATAATGATAATATATCAACTACACACGATAGTACATTATCAATAAACTATTGTACACTGAATTCTCAAGGTCAACGCACCTAATTTCAAAAAGCCAAAACACCTTTAATAATAATCACAATTCAAAACATAAAGTACATGAGAATGCAATTATATATCAGAGAGAAGAATAACTAACCTGTTCATTTATAAATTTAGGATTTTTAACTCCTAGAAATATTTCTGATGATGACGCGGGTGATGTTGTTGATGTTTTATCTAAATTCATAGTAGTAGTAGTAGTAGTGTTTATTATTAGTGACATAGCAGGAGTTGTAGGCTTCAATTGTTGAAGGATATTTGAATTCCCTGGAGTTGAACTGATTATCCCAATATTGGAAGCAGACAATTTTGACACTTCCCTATTCACATACTCTGTAGTCTTCAATTCATTCACTTCAGTAGTTGTATTAACTAATTTATTATTATAACTACTATTAAATGAATTATTTTTATTCAATTCATTTTGTTTTAATGAAGTTCTATTCCAAATTTCTGCAAGTGACCGATTTTTCAATTCACAACGTAAACCTTTATATTCAGATGGACATATGCATAATGGTAATTCACTGGCGTCTAAATTTGGATTATTTTTGCATAACCCACCGTTTAAACAATAATTTGACCTATTGATACATTGATCAAGACGACATTTTTGATATTGGTGATCGAAATAATAACCTGTGAACAAATGACAAAATTTACTGTTAAGGTCTATAGTAAAAGAAAGTTATTTTGGAAGAAATTCTGAAGATACTTGGGAGAATTGCTGAAGTTGACCGCGAAGTAATTTGGAAACGACTCGAGTACTACGGCGTACCCCAAATATTCATCAACCTTATTCAACAGCTGTACGACAACGGCACATGTCAAGTGATCCACAACGGAAAACTCAGCGAGGCGTTTGGAGTAAACACAGGAGTCAGACAAGGGTGCTTATTATCAGCAATGATATTCCTAATAGTGGTCGGCTGGATTATTTGTCAGACAGTGGGAAACGAGAAGACAGGGATATCCTGGACCGATGTGAAGAATCTAGAAGACCTGGATTTCGCGCGTGGATGATTTATGTTTGAGGTCACACAAAATCGAAGACTTACATGCGAAAACCGACAAACTGGTCGAAGAAGCAGCAAAGGCAGGACTGCAGGTGAACATAGACAAGACGGAGGTTATGAAAATAATCAACCAACAACAACAACAACAGCAGCAGCAACAACATCCAGCACCAATCATCATCAACGGGAGGGATTTGAAAGAGGTAACTTCATTCACTTATCTAGCGAGCATCGTCTCAACTACAGGAGGAACGGACGAGGTTGTTAAATCGAGAATCGGTAAGGCGAGAAACACATTCATCAACCTGAAACCAATCTGGAAATCTTCGTCACTCAGCATCAACAACAAAATTCGGATTTTCAATACAAACGTCAAGTCAGTTTTGCTATACGGATCAGAAACTTGGCGGGTCACCAAGAATATATCCAACAGGTTGGCAGACCTTTATCAACAGCTGTCTTCGTTCTATGCTCAAGATCAGATGGCCGGAAAGAATCACCAACAGAAAACTATGGGAACAAACAAAACAAGAACCAATCGCCTAACAAATATGCAGGAGAAAGTGGTGATGGATTGGACACTCGCTGAGGAGGCCGCTGGGTAACATCGCGCGTCAGGCCGTCGAGTGGAATCCGAAAGTGAAGCGGTGAGTGGGACGTCCATGGGTGACATGGAGGAGATCGTGTGAAGAGGAGTTGAAACAGTATGGACTAACATGGATGCATGTGAAAAGTACAGCAGAAGACAGAAGCAAGTGGAGAAGTGCAGTTGAAGCCCTATGTTCCACTAGGAACCCACGGGAACAATAATATATATATGTATATGTATATATAATATATATAACCAATCACTAGCTAAAATCACGAATAATAGCAGTTGGGATTCATGGACTGGCCAATGGATTGGGTCCCGAAGGCCAATTTGTTTACGACCTGACTTGTAGCCGGATGGTCCTAGGTTCGAACCTCTGTGGATACGTGCCGCTGAAGAGTCCCAATGTTTCTCTAACTGTTGTCAGTTCGTGATGAAATTTGACATTAACCAAATAGTTGAAACTATAACAAAAAGGACTGACTAAACAGTGGTCCTCAATTCACTTTGTAAATTTGATAACTAATCCAAAGAGTTTTACTTACCTCGTTTACAGAATATATTTCCTGATGCATCACATAGATAATCGACAGATTGTCGATCACAGAATGTTGCACACATTTTTCCAAAATAATTTGGTAAGCATGAATAAGTGACATGAAAACGAACAATCCTGTAAATGTATAAAACAGAAATCAAAATCATTTTAGCTAGAAATTTAATTCTGATTTTGTTTACATTGATTGTCCACTAGGTAGGGAGTAACCACTGTCATGCATCTTGTATTCAGCACCGAATAAGCTCTATCAGTAAAGCTTTTGTTATATTGTCATCAATCTGCATAACTCACCAAGATATATTGGGTGGTTCGAAGGTATGATCGAGTCTTTGTACATGCTGGAACTCATCCGCATGATATGTATCTGTAATTTTGAAAGAAAGCTATTACTTTTTGGGGATTCAAACATGCATCATCCATTTATTCAGTAACAGACATGGCTACTGAACTATTCAAGTTTCAGCTGATCGCCTGTAAGACTGGTTGTGTACAGAATTTGCATCGGAACATATTGCATGATATTTTCCATTCGTTCAGGATCATAAAATAAAGTGTTGACTGACAGTGGACCCTGTGATGCAATTCTGTATAAACTGAAGCGTAAACCAATCCCTCATTATGATATTTCTTTTTTATCTCTTTCGAGAAATCCATAACATTTGGTTAAGACCCAAAGACATAACTCAGGAATAGTTTTCTCATGTACTGGGATACTCTGCCAGCCATAGTTACGTTTCTTTTCAAGTTTAGTAGAAACTTGTGAATTATCAGGTTTTAAACATTTTAAATGTGGAAGTAGAAATACCATTAGAGGTTATGTTTCAATAGAATAAAACAAAGTGAACGAGAGAAATTATATTCTATATAATGATGTTGGTTTTAAGTAGCACAAGTTTAAGCAGACCGCCGAATCAAAGATCAATATCCACATCTGAACATCCTATTCAAGCGTTTTTATATCAAAGCAGCTAACTAATAGACCGACGACTAAACATTATTCCAATACGATAATTGTTCATTGAGACTATTTCCGTATGAAACTGTACTCACAAAGTTTAGGTACTGAGGTGAAAATATGACTAATTAATTATCTAAAGACTTTTTATTATTTCAGTTGATAGTGACTAGCAGTCAAATAAAGGGTATACTTTGCGTCCTATTTAGCAATAGTTAACTGGACTCAGATCCCGCACTCTTATTTTCAGACGCCAAAAAACTTGTCCGCCACGTCACTGGGTCATGTGGAATGGACTAATCTCCCACACACCTGGTAACTGTAATTGTTTTGTTCTGTTGCAAAATATTCCACTTAATTTTGACTTTGATTTTCACTTACTGAGATGAATTCACTATTAAGTATCCAAATTTACTTAATTCTTTGTCTGTGTCAAAATTTTATTTCACTATTCACTCTCACTGTCTTCAACTCTCCATCATACGATATACCAATTAACTCTGTTTTTCGATCTTGTATTCTGTCTCTAGTCTAACCTCGTTCCCAAGCAGAATCTGAACTTTAATTCCCTGTAATCATACTATAAATATTTGATTCAATTTTTTAGATTTTCCTGTCGATTGATAGGACCGAAGTGCTTGGTCTCAGGTTGACATGTCGGCTTCTTGTGCAGATGATGCAGCGATTTCTGGGCATGTAATTATAAGTTAATTGGTGGATGGTGACTAGCAGTAGAATCCAGGAAGCGCATTTCGTTCTACTTGGGACTCGTCAGTTGCATGTACCTGCATTCCGAGGGGAGTGATGATGTTCCCATCGAGGCTGGAACCCAGTGCCTATAGTTTCAAATGCCAAACGCCAAGCACTTCGGTCCAATCAATCGACGGGAAAATCTAAAAAACTCAATTAAATAATTAATATGACCCGTTGCAAAAGTGGTGGCTCTCGTGCCCCAAGTGGTCTAGTGGATAACGCTTTGGCGTTCAAAACTATTGGCACTGGGTTCGAGTTTCAGTGGGAATATCATCACTCACAGGGGAATGCAGGTACATGCAGCTGACGAGTCCCGAATAGAACGAAATGCGCGTTATCCTGGATTACACTGCTAGTCACCATACACCGATTAACATACTATAAATAGTTAGCATTTTAACACTGAATAACTTTCAGTAAGGCATGTAGAAGACAAATTTCGTGAGATGATATCATTTCGTAGTTTCTTTACAACCGCTTTACAACTAACAGTGCTCAAAATAACAAAATAAAATGCATGACAATTACCCAGTTATATAAAACAAAAGAACATACTGATGACCAATGAATAATTTGTCTACCTTCACCATTTTGGGAATCATTTTGCTTAAACTTCCTATCTATAATTCAGCATCACTGTGAAGAATGTATGTTCAGAAATTTTGTGACTGATATTGTGATACTGGTTAGGATGTACGCAGTTGAGGAGACTCCATGAAATAAAACTACCTAATATTATTGTCTGACAGATTTGTTAGTTCCGTCGTTGTTTTTACCTTAGTTATTATTAGTCAAAACGTGGTGGAGATAGGGCTGATTGACGTCGGCACTTGATCTTCAACCGACAGCATCGCTGTTCGAATTTAATTCAATCTACTTTAGCCTAGGCAATGAACGAGGTAGTACTATTGTGGTGAGAGATGGTTGCTGGCCAAACTGGTTGACAGTAATTGAGGTCAATGTTAGTCATGTGAAAACAAGGTCAAAATGGACAAGCGGATACAGTTAACATATAGATGAACTGACACAGCCACAAGAGATGCAAGGTTAACTTTGTGTGAGAAACAACCAATCAACAGACTGTATTTTCTACTAACATTAACCTACAATAATGTACATTAAAATCTATAAATATGTGTTGATTTTCGTTAATAAACGATCTGTTGCCTGGTCCTTGTCTTCTGTTGTTAGGCTCTGAGCTCTCACGCACATACACCATAAGTGCGATTCACAGCCTGAAAAGCGGCAAAATCTATTCCAGCTAGCAGTTTTAGCTAAAACTAACTAAGGCACTATCAAATTAACTTGTATACATGAGATGTGATTGCTTCGAGGAGTAATGCAATCAATAAGTAATGCTTTACTTCAGGTATGTGCAGCATAGAAATCATTTGATCAGAGAATACTGTGTCCAGCTATTCATGATCTTTCATTTGTTTATTTGAATTGTAATCGTAAATGTCAACATCTCTAATTGTAATAATAGATTCAAACTATACTATAAGATGAGGCATATATATGCATATATCAAAGCAACAGGATACTTTATCCGCAAGCAAAGGCATATAAGTAATTGCGTTTTAGGTATCAGTGTTAACCATCTATGATAGTTAACGCTTATTTCCTTGACAGTGCATAGATCTTAATAGAAGTATTGTAAATTATCCTGGCAGTAATGATCTCATTAGGGGTAAATACTACTTTTTCAAAATCTCGATCCACGTTTTAAAGGTTACTCCTTTTAGAAATGCTTTAAAAAGGAATTATTTTTCAAGTTTGATCTGTTATAGAACCATTGGAAAGTAACAGGTAGTAATGGGTAGCTTTTTCATCCTAGTGCTTGGTATTCTTCAGTTGTACGCACCTACGAATCCATCCGGGATCGAACCCATCACCTTAAGGTTACGAAGTCAAGCCCGTTGGTCATTCAGCCACTGTGATGGAATCCAATAGCAAGCCAACGAATTCTATCTATTAACAGTTCACCTCCAGCCAATGTTATTGGCTATCTGGTGGAAGCCATTGGTCACAAATTCTCACTAGAACTCCAGGTAATTTCATTCTGTATTCAGTCTATAGTGAGCAACAGATTTTTAAGTGTTAGTTTGTAAGGATTTCATTAGTTTCAGTCAGAGAACCACTGAAAACCAGGGAGTACGGAACCCCCACGAATGGTCTATAACCTGAAGATTTAGCACCTGACCCTAGTTGAGGTCATGGGTGCGCACTGTTGAGGAGTCCTAAAATAGGACGAAACAACTGTCCAGTACTCAATCCTTGGTTTTCAGTGGTTCTACAACTGATATAAAACTTACTTTGTATAAAATACAGATTTCGTCATGAAAGAATATAGACGTAAGAGTAGAATTTATTGGATGTGATGATGATGTTAATGATGATGACAGAGTGTTAATAACTGGATGACATTTCCAGCAGAACTGTGTTGCTCATAATCATATCTATTTTATTCACACACAGTGTAGATAAGCCTTGCTGACAAATGCTAAAAAATACGAAAGATAAGTTTGAAGCTTCCTGTCAACTCTCTCCAACCATTTAATAACAAAAATTCAAAGTGTACCATGATGTCTAGCCCCGTAGTATGGTGTCAACACTATAAACTTGACTGAACTAATTCAGTCCGCACAACACAAATAACTAGATGCATGACACTAGTTACTAGGTTGGGGGATTTCATCATGAGCTGACATCAGTTAGAGAACCATTGAAAAACCTAAAAGTACTAGACAGCTGTTTCGTCCTAGTTTGGGACTCTTCAGCACTACGCAACCTCCAACCAATCAAACAAAAAATATCCCTACAAAACCAATACTTGAAAATTGACCTGATGCTCACAAGTGACTGGCTCTATTCAGGCAGTGACCTGAGGTTCTAGTGGGAAGCCGTGACCAGTAGGAAACAGCAGGTTGAAGGTGAGGCAGTAACTCATCGAAGAGGACACTGCGAACTGATCGCGCTATGTCATGAATTGGCAGAAGTTAGGATTCATGGGCCATTGGATTGGGTCCCAGTGGCTTAGTGGTCTACGAGCTCGCCAGAAGGTCCTGGGTTCGAACCCTGGAACTGGGTGCGTACTGATGAAGAGTCCCAAACAAGGACAAAATAGTCTAGTACTCCCAGTTTTTCCAATTGTTTTCTAACTCTTATGGACTAAAATAAATAAATGAGTGCCCTAATCATCACAGTTTTATTTCGTTTTGTTTCATCCCTCTTACATTCCGAGATGAACATACCACTTCAAAAGTGAAGCTTGGAAACTTCAGTAGCAGTGCTGCTTTTTGTGCTGAAAGATAGTACTGCTAGCCCCACGCTCAAGCTTTGTTCTTTTCGGAGCCTACTACCGGCTAGTTAACTAGGTGAGGTGGGTTTCCAAGTGCATCCATCGGTTGGGAATGCGACCCACTTGGTTCACCAACACGCAAACATTCAACTACCAACTGGACAGAAAGATTGATTTCAGCTTCCCTTAATCATATGTTGTAAGAGAAACTGAGATCTCACATTCATCTGTGCCCCCAAATAACTTCATCATAAATCTGTTAAGCATAACATTCGATTATTTATTTAGTTTGATTTATCTGTGTTTATATTATATTTTCACTGTTTAACCTTGGACTGTCAAAAAGGAAACAGGCTAAATGACAAGGTACATGATGGTTGACCGATATACAAGATAAGCAAGGAGTTTATGGCCTTCTTTAATATACATTTATATTTAGAAACTAGGTGAGATGTAAATTTATAAACTTCTATGGTAAGGAGACCAATTATCATATTCTATTAATAACTTGACAATATATATATATATATACATATATATGTTTATAAACATTCATTAATGACTACGGGGTATTTCCAAGAGTTAATTTGTAGAGATTTGATTTGCATCACATTTGATCACGAGCTAATGTCAGTTAGGAAACCAATGAAAACCAAGCAGAGAGTACTGGACAGCTGTTTCGTCCTAGTGCCATTGACTCTCTAGCAGTACCCACCCTCCGGGGTTATTTGGCCAGTTTGTATGCCGTTCAACCACTGGGACCCGATCCAGTGACCAGTCGATGAATTCCAACTTCTACCAATTCATGATACAGAAATATTGTGGTTGAATTTCCACTTACTTTACCTACAAAACGCATAATTCACATGAAGGTGAAGGATAAACTACCCTTTGCTGGATACCTCATCGATGCGTGTCTATCAACTCACCATCTTCTGTAGAGATAGGTATGCAGACCGTATCTAGCGTTTACTAAACAAACGTATCATCGAACATTTATCCCTATGGTTTTATAAAGGGGGAGAAGATCCCCCAACAACTGTATTCTGGGAATCTTGTTAAAGAAGTACGGATTAAACTTGGCTCCTGTTCAATTTTAGTCGAATTCTACTGAATCGTCATTCGAGCTACTTATTTGATTTTTTTACAGTTTCTACCCGATTAACTATTTCTGTGCTACGTAACTTGCTACCTAAAATTTACAGTCCTAATCACACGTCTCTGGAAATATTCCTTTTGTCGCTAAGATAATTTACTGAGTATACATGCGATTGTACAGCTTGAGAATGATATCTCTAAATAGAGTAACTCTTCTGATGATATTAGATAGTTGGAGGCAATCGGCAGGAAGTCTTGGACCTAGGTTTCGTGCTAGTTGGCACTCACCAGTCACCAAGGCGTATTTGCAGTCTTGAAGGAACTCATGTCCCTTCTGAGATTCGAACCCGCGTGATGGCGAGCTACCTAGAATGGTGGCCACATTGCAAGCTTGACTGATAGAATTCAGTTTGCACCAAAGAAAGGACTAGACACATCACACTAGTTACTAGTGTCCAATCAGAGTAACTCTTCACTGAACGCCTTTTCTATTATATGACTCAATTAGAGATTTTTAAGCTGTATATCGATAAATTTCAGTTAGCTGTAAGTGAGAATGAGGAGAAAGGATATGAACATGGAACACATCAATATATGAACAAAACTTACAATGAGAGGTCATATGACGTCACAGATACTTCATTCTCTTCAACTAAACGGAATTCTGTATTTCTCAGTTTTTGAATTTCTTGTTCACCAACTTTCTGAACTGTAACATCCAGTTCAATTGGATTCTCCTAGAAGATTGGAAAAGTGAAAGTGAAATAAAATAGAAGTTTCCAGAAATTGATTTCTACGGAACCTTTTTTCTGTTCTTTCTAACTGTCAACCTACATTAGTGAATTCACCAGTTCTGGTTTGACAGTATCCCCTGCTATCACAAATGTCATAATACATTGCATAAAAGTTTAGCCTTACTGAATAACGAACGCTTTATTCTTCAGTGGCTGAGTGGTAAAATGATTGTCAAAAACTCCACAGATCCGGCTTCTATTCCCAGCCGAACCACTCCAGAACCACGTATAGTCTACTAACCACTAAATAGTAAGCCAAAGAAAGCGGGGTGTGTATGTAGAAGACAATTTATCCCACCCTGAGAAAGGTAGGTCTTGTTTAACCAAGTAACACATTGAAGTTTAAGTCCTAGACTCCGAGTTCACTCAAATCAAGCACACTACTCTCATTAGGATATAAACACAGTAACATGTATGTGTCTGTTGATAAGTTAGACTATTCTATAATTTTCAATAGTTGGTTTGTAAGGATTAGATTTATTTTTAGGAGTTTGACGACGGATTGATATCAGTTAGAGAACCACTGAAAACCACGGAGTACAGAACAGCTGGTTCATCCTAGTTTGGTAATCATCGGTGGGACATCCATCCTCACACTTGTCTGGATGGACCTCACTGGTCACGACTTCTCACTAGAATTCCAGGAAACTCCGTCCTGTAGCAAGTCACTAGCGAGCACCAATGACATTGGTTGGTAGTCGCGCTAAATCACGAATCGGTAGAAGTTAGAATTCATGGGCTGGTCATTGAATCGGGTCCCAGTGGCTAAATGGCTTACGAGCTTGCCTTGTAACCGGGAGGTCCTGGATTCTAGCCCTGGATGTGCGTGCTTACTGCCAATGATTCCCAAAATAGGATGAACCAGCTGTCCAGTACTCAGTGGTTTTTAATGTTTCTTTATCTGATATTCTACAATTATTAGACAAATAGAACGATTCTCTTAAGCCATTTTTATATCGAAGGTGGATATACTCAAACCTATCATGCACAAACATCTAAGTGTGGGAATGTTTTACTCTTTTGATATAAGATGGTTGGAGGCATTTGGCAGGAAGCCTTGGACCTAGGTTTCGTTCTAGTTGGCACTCGTCAGCAAGGCGTGTCTACTCTGTTAAAATATCATTCAAAAGTTAACGTTTGGAAATTAACTGCATTTGTATACAACAATTACAGGCTTGTATGAGTTGAAGTAACTATTGTGATATTGTTCCTTCGGGTTCCCAGTGGAAAAGCAGCTTCAAAAGCATATCTCTATTTTGTTCTGTTCTCTGTGATCTCTTCTAAATAGCTCCAGGAATGCCCATAAGCTTCAATCTTTTCCTCACACAATCTCCTCCATGTCACACTCGAGGCCACTCCCACTTCGTCCTTTCTCATTCGGATTCAACTACAGTGATGGCCTGCATTGACAGCAGTGTCACTCAGTGGTTTTCTGAGTATGTATCCGACAGATCTCCATTTCCTTCAGAATATTTCTTTAGTAACAGGTACTTGACTGATTCATTCCCAGAGTGTCCCGTTATTAATTCTTTTTGACCATTTAGTCTTCAATATATGGGGCAAAGGCAGTTGTTGATAAAAGTCCGCGTCCTGTTGGAAATGCTTTTCTTGACATACGTCAATTTTCTGACTCATATAGAAGAAATGACTGATTTAACATTAGTGTTAAAATTGGAATTCTGTTCAGTAGATTTCTAATCTGATTTCAGAGTAGTGAAGGTCTCTCTTGACCTTCCGATTTGAGTTTTAAAATCCTCATCAGTGTTTTCATCTCTATTTGAAACGATGTGACCTCTTTTAAATTTCTTCCGTTGATAGTTATTGGTATATGTCATCATCGGTTGGTTGTGAATTAATGGAATAATTTTCAGTAATGAATAGAAACATCATTTGAACTAGTTATTGGATAGATTACAAATTAATTTGAAATATAATAATTCAGTGGTAGAATACTCGTCAACCACGCCGCAAATGGTCGTGGTTCAATTCCCGCCCGACGAACTCCTAAAGCTCGCTTAACCAGTAATAATGCCGGTAAAGAGGGAAGGTTAGGCCTTAGGCTTGCAACGCCAACCCTTAAATGCAACAGAACGGTTGCTAAAACTTCAAAGCTTAAGCTGGAAGATCTATGTTTCACTTGAAATAGACTGCACTATATGAAAGCTGAATCAAGTGTAGCACGTTTATGGAATAATAAGTAAAACAGTGATCAACTTTCAGAAAGATGCGTGCTATGCTACTGATTGGCTAGCATGAGTAGTCGGATACCACTCACATCAACCATAGTATTGGCTGACCAGATACAAGTGATCTGAACACCTGCCAGATGTCTCACTCGTCTGCGGCCGAGATCATCAGCGATGTATTAGGTATGAATGGACTCAAACAGCAGAATCAGATCAAACCATCCGAATTCTGATTAGCTACTGGTAATATATTTGATCCCATTTGCGACCTGCAATTTACGCAGTTCGAAGAAGTGAAATTTCAACAAAGTTTTCTTTAGAAACTGAAATGGTTTAGATCACATTATGTGACCAGAAATCAAGGTGGATTCAAGAGCTTTTTCATCCTAGTTTGAAACTCAGTTTGAAACCCGACAGAATAAATTTGTTACAGACAGATGTTGAACAAACACGTCAGTATTCATCTGCTTTGAATAATTTCAAGTTAGATTCAAACTGATGACAGGATGAAGTTGCCTGGAGTTCTATTGGGAACTGATGACCAGCCAGGTACACCAAGTCGAGCGCAATGGAGAAGATACCCACTGGTGATATTGGCTGTAAGTGGCGCTCTGTGTCACAAAATGGCAGAAGTTAGAATCCATCGGTCATTGAATTCCATCCTAATGTCTGAATAATCATAGTCTACAGTTTCTCCTGAGTTCGAGTTCGTTAACTAGGATGCAATAGCTACCCACTACTCCATGGACTTAAAAGGTTTTCTAACTGGCCTCTGGTTGTCATAAAATCAATATTAAACATTGAATAATTTAACGGATTCATGCATAAATTAATAGAACTTACCACGGATGATACTAAGAAACTCAATGATTCTGGTGGCCCTTGAGAAGCACAAGTAGCCTGAATAAAACGGGCAACTGGACCAACTAACTGACACCTATAATAAATTTTAAAAATGACGGAATTAGACGTTTTGAGGTCTTAATATAAACAGACAAAATATTTTGTAACTTTAAAGGACTGATTAGTGAACAAAGATGACAAAGGAAGACTCTTCAATGCCAGCTTTGTGGTCTCTGTTGGACGAGGTGATCTAATTAACATCGAAATGTTGATGGTTTTAACAACACCTTTATTTAGACACACTGGTAGGTGTTCCCGAGCATGAAAAATTAAGTTCCTAGAGTAACAGCCAATATAACTGGCTCCAGAGGAGCCTCTTTCAAATTTATTCCGTTGATAGTGATTGGTACTTCTTGTTGCTGATCAGTTGGTATCTTCATCCTTTCTCTGGTTCATTTGGATTACTGTCATCGTTGCCTGGTGCTTCTAGACGTGTTCGCAGATTACATCAAAATGTTGACCACTTTCTACTGCAGAATGAGTGACCACAGAATTCAAATAATATTCTATGCTGTAACTTTCTTTTGTCTTCTAAACGTCTGAGTGGGAATATTCGTTATATAAAACTCAAGTTTGATTACGGGTGGATATCAGTTAGAGAGCCACCGAGAACCAAGAGAGAGTACTGGACATCTGTTTCGTCACAGTACCCGAGACTCTTCAGCAGTGCCAACCCGGGACCGGCTGTAAGTCAAGCTGATAGACTATTCACTCAACCGTTGGGACCCGATCCAATGCCCAACTCATGAATTCCAACTCCTACCAATTCATGATTTTACCGTGGCAACCATCCAATCTCATCGGTTAGTTTTTGTTCTCACAACTGTGACTCGGTGGACCCCACTGGTCATGACTTCTCACTAGAACTCCAATGAACTTCGTCCTATAACCAACCACTGGCGAGCTGCGGACTGATTTCCATGGCTAAGCTTGGCTTGTAAACGGAAGGTCTTGTATTCAAAACTCGATAGGTGAGCACTGGTGAAGAGTCCAAAACTAGTACGAACCAACTACCCAGTAGTACCTGGTTTTAAATGGTTTTCTAACTGACGCACTTGAAGTAAAGCAAATCCCCATAAGCTAACTCATGAAAATGAAATTTTTAAACCTCTAGCATGAATACGAGCGTCAGTATTTAAGTGGCAAAATGTTTACCAGTTATGCCACAAGTCCTTGTTCGACTTATCGTCGATACACTCTTAAATCTGTTTACGTGGAAAAGAGGGGAGATTGAATGACAGGAATCAGCTTAAAATAGTAATCATCTTATGACTCATCATGTGATTCATTGTGTGATCGGATGATTATAAAATGGAATCATCTTTTTCTCACCTTGGTCTTGGTGAGATCTCCAACCAATGAGAACATTTATTTTCGCCTACTTTAGCCGAATGGTCAATCAATCAGAACAATCCATTTCCACTGCCTTGAGTCGATTTTGATGTGGTAAAAAGATATGTAAATATGACGCGCTTTTTCCCAATAAAAATCGTATCTTAACAGTCACAAGCCAGTCTTTGTCTTTTGAAATTTATACGGCTAAGAGAAGCGCAAGGTACGACGGATGAATAGGCGTATCTAGCATATTAGTTGAGTTATCCATTGCATCATTATTAACATACCAATATATCAGTCCACTCAGCCATTATTACTATTATTTTATTCCTTAACGTTCCCAGTGGAAAATATGGCTTCAACCTCGAGGCTTGAATTTTCGGTAGCAGTGGTTTTATTTTTACGAGGTGGGATTGCTAGTCTCACGCCCAACCTTCCCTCTTTGCCTGGCTTTATACCAGCTAAGTGAGGTTTGAGAGCGCGTCGGCGGAGGATCTAACCCCAGATCAGCTGAGTGGCTGGCGAGCGTTCATCCTCTGCGCCACCGACGCACTTACTCGGTCATATCACCTGTCAACAAGGTCATATCAACTGGCGACAGGTCCCTAACATTAGATCCATCTCGTAGAAACGATGTCATTCTTACTGAAACTTCAAAGCCTGAAGCCCTATATTCCACTTGGAAAACAAGAAATGACAAAATCCCACAGGTATGACAGTAATGAATTTTTGTTAAGCAGACTTTATTCTGGTTCTTGAAAGTGTTGTTCTACTTTCAGCATTCCTGTATTTGGCGTCACTTATGGTGAAATGCAGCTTCACATCTTTTTTCCTTCCGAAGCAGTGTGTACAAGTTATAAATGGGTATAAGTAGCATATAAAGAAACATCTCCAAAAAAACAAAAGTACGTGGATCCGTACTGATGAAGAGTCCCAAACCAGGACGAAACAGCTGTCCAGTACTCTCAGGTTTTCCGGTGGTTCTCTAACTGATGTCAGCTCATGATGAAATCCTCCATGCAATAAAACAAAAGTAGTTTATTTTTCAACAGGAAAATACAACTGCGCACAAAGCCTTTTGTTTCCTGTCTTCTCCAAAAGGGCTGTCTAAACTTCAGAACGTTGAATCATTTGACGCATTTTTATTATTGTTCCCTTGGGTTCCTAGTGGAACATAGGGCTTCAACTGCACGTCTCCACTTGCTTCTGTCTTCTGCTGTATTTTTCACTTGCATCCATGTTAATCCATACTGTTTCAGTTCCTGTTCACACGATCTCCTCCATATCACCCTTGGACGTCCCACTCGCCGCTTCCCTTTCGGGTTCCACTCGAGCTATGGCCTGACGCGCGATGTCACCCAACGGCCTCCTCAGCGAGTGTATATTCACCAACAATTGCAATTCAGTCAAAACACACTTTGATTGAATACTAGGTAGTAACTGGCGTCATGCATCTAGTCCTTTGTTCGGTGCAAAGTAAGTCCTATCAGTTGGGCTTGCAATGTGTGGGGCACACTAGATGGCTTGTCATTAAGGTGCACCTTAAATTGTTGTCATTCGATGTTTGCAAGCATTCAGAAGGAAGCCTTGTCTTAACCAGATTTCGTGCTAGTTGGTAATCGCCAGTCAGCAAAGGTGTATCTGTAATCTTGAGGGAAATCACGTCCGTTGTGAGCCTCGAATCCATGTCAACCAGTGCTGCAGTCAGAGGCGTTACCTTTGAGCTATTTAGGCTAGTGATTGATCCCTTGTAGAACTGTATTAGGTGCTTTGGTTGAACACAAGGCAATAATAGCTAGTGATTTCCATTTGACCTATTGTTGTTCGCAGACTGAAGGGACATGAGTTCCTTCAAAACTGCAGAAACTTCTTGATGACTTGTGAGTGTCAAAAAGCCCGAATCCTCAGTGGGACAGTGCTTCCTGGCGATTGCCTTCAATCACTCGACCACTCAGTAGAGTTTGACCAGTCTGTCATCAACATTCCCTTTCCACAGAATTATAAATACTAGGATAACTCATAAAATTGGAAAACATGGCATCTGTTACTTACCGATTAGTGAATTCTCCAGCGCACACTACCACTTTATACACTGTTTCATCACATTCCGAATTGAAATCATTACTAAGACCAAATTTCAGAGTAACATTAGCACGAAATTGCTGTAAATAAAAACAAAAATCACATTTGCAAATGAAAATGAATCAAAATAATTAAGAGTTTATCATTTTTCTGATTTATAAACTACTCAAAACAAATCAATAAATTAAATTCTACATGATGGTGCGTTGGTGGCACAGCGGTTAGGACGCTCGCCGACCATGCATATAGTTCGGGCTTAGATCGCCGACCCTCGTACAATTGATATCAATGGCTGGCCTGCTAAATTTGGGCCACCAATATCACATGCTGAAAATTCCATACTTGTACCAAAATACTGTGTGGAATCGAGCCATAATAAAAACATTTACCACTGATTGGTGTAAATGAATGGCGTTCGTTAGGCAAATCGAAGTGATCTTTACACCGGACGGTTGTTTCGATTATTTGGGGCCGAGCTTATCAGCAGTGTAGTCGGAAGTACTCAACTCAAACAGTTCGATCAGTTAAAACCACTCAACTTCTGGCTAGCCATTTGGGTGAACCGGTAAGCTGTCACTGTCACAGTTGTAATCAACAGAAAATTGAGTATCTCACCAGCGGAACCTATTCCGCAGCCATGTTAGGTCCTTGTATATTAGTGGTTCAGTGGCAGAATGCTCACAAGCCATGACCTAAATAGTGGTTCGAATCCCAGCCAAAGCACCCCAGATCTCACCTAGTTGGTGGAAAGCCTAGGAAAGAGGGAATGTTGGGCGTGAGGCTAGTAACCTCACTTCGTGGCAAAACGACACCACTTCTACTTAAAATCAAAAGCTTTAAGTTCCATGTTCACCTCGAAACGCAAAGGAATTAAAAGTCAAGGAATAAGGAAGCCAGTGAAAATAAGACTTTCTGCTTACTTATAGTTGTCTTAAATTGCATCAAGAATTGATGTGTGGCGATTCATCAGAGGTAAATTCTTTAAAGGAATAATTTTATTTGATATGACACACAGTGATACGGCATTATTCATTTTCTGGTACCGACATGGCATAAGTACACCTAAAAGCTCACTCACAGTAACAAACAATCAAGTCTAAAGAGGAATCTATCAGGCCAATTTAGATGGAACATCATGATTCACTTGCAGTTGGCTCAGAACCAGAAGTTACCTGCAGTTCCAGTGGAATTCGTAACCAGTAGGATCCACCAAGTCAGGTAAGAGGAGAGTTACTTGCCAGTAACATTGGCTGATGGTTGCGCTAAATACTACAAATTACAGGGAGCTGAAATTCATGGCCCGGCCATTGGATTGGGTCCCAGTGGCTGAATTGTCGACTAGCTCGACATGTAATTGAGAGGGTGCTACTGATGATGAAGAGTCCCAAACTAGGACAAAACAGCTGCTCAATACTCACTGCCTGGTTTTCCAGTGATCCTCTAACCAACCAAATCCCTGCAAACTAACACTTGATAATCATCACGGGAATACCCAGTGTTAGCTGGGAGGTCACCTGCATTGGCTGGTAAGTTGTAGTCAAATAGATTATTGGGATACTGGAATCGGGTTAAGTATGAAATACAATACCCCAATAAATGATTCAGTTAGGAAAATCTCGGCCTGACATCTTCCGCCCTCATACAATAAGGTGTGGCTCAAAGCTTATTACACTGGAAATCTGTTTCAGATATCTGAACACTAATAAGATTAAAACAGTATGAATTCCTAAAGAATGGTGATTGAAATTCATCTGTATAAATATCTTCTTCATTGTAGGCTGTATCTTTATAAAAGCTTCTTCATTCTTTTGTGTTCATTGTAGAACATAAGGCTTCAAACTTCAAGCTTTGAGGTTTCATTAGCACTAATATTTCTATTATGGGATGTGGTTACATACCCTACGTTCAGTCTTCCTTCCCAACTAAGCCTACTACTGGTTGGATGAAGTTTAAGTGTGAGTCGACTGGGAATACAATGTGGAACACATATGTGGTTGGCGAGTATTCTACCAACACTATCAATTCATTTCACTCTCTTCTGTGTAATTCTTTTTAACTGTCTCAACAATTTCTGATAAGATTTCACCTCCACTACACACGATCTTCTCCATATCACACTCAGAACCGTGTTGAACTCGTCGCTTCCCATCTGTGTTCCACTCGACGACCTGTCCTCTCAGTATATATATCATGCAACCCATCTCCACTTTCTTCTGCATATTTGTTTGGCGATAGATTCGTGATTGGTTCGTTCACATAGTCAGCTGTTGCTTATCCCTTCTCATCAACTCTCTGATCTTTAAAAGTGAGGTGAAGGCAGCTGTTGAGGGAAGTCTGCCACAGACTGTTTGAATTGTTTGCTGTGATGCTTGCTCCAAGTCTCTGAATAATATGGATCCACCTAGTGACTTGACACTAACGTTGAAGATGCGGGTCTCGTCTCTTATGCTGAATGCAGACTGACTGTCGTCTAATGAAGTTCTGTCTTGCTTTTGATATCCTCATCTATACAGCCTCATATAACTGAGACGGTACTGCCCAGTTTAGGTGAGTGAAAGAGAAAACATCCTTTAAATTTCTTCTGTTGATGGTGATTGGTTGGTTATCATCATCCCCATTGTCCTCTCTATGTTCACTTGAAGTCTTGTATTTACTGCCTCTTCTGTTAACCTGTTGGTTATCACTTGTATTGTAACAACAGAAGACAAGGGCCAGGCAACAGATCCTTTATTAAGGAAAATCAACACATATTTATAGATTTTCATGTACATTATTGTAGATTATTGTTAGTAGAGAATACAGTCTTTTGATTGGTTGTTTCTCACAGAAAGTTAAACTTGCATCTCTTTGTGGCTGTGTCAGATCATCCATATGCTAACTGTATCCGCCTACGCAAAGCCTTTGTTCTCATTCTCTCACCACCAATATTGGGGACATAAACATTGACGTCAATTACCGTCTACCAACTTTGGCTAGCAGCCAGCTCTCACCACAGTATATCCTTGAGTTTCCGTGAAATTAGACATGAATCATCCTCCGTGAAAGTTCAGATTTTCCAATGTCTGTTTTTGGTCCAGGATACGCATTCCCCCCCGGCCACGCTACTCTCAGTCCATTCCAATTTAGAATGTCATCAGTGATTTATATGTATATACAGTTATGCTTTATTTCTTATAATATATCAGGAACTCTCCTATGCCTACCTACATCAGCTGTTTTCTAAGCATTTCACGTAGGCATGATTTATTAAGATTCTTCACATTGTAATAATTGACTGATAGAATTCAGTCTGCACCAAACAAACGATTAGACGCATGACGCTAGTTACTACCAGTTTGTATTCAATCAAATGATCCACCACAGTCCCACAGAGGGTCAATAGAGAACTCGAATAGCTCAGTGGTAACGTCTCTAACTGCAACACTCACTAAGTGACACGGGTTCAAATCTCAGAAGGGACATGAATTACTTCAAGATTGCAGATACCCCTCACTGACTGCTGAGTCCCAATAAGCAGAAAACCTAGGTAGGGCTTCCTTCCGATTACCTCCAGCCATCTAATGAACTGCATTGGCGAGACATCAAGCATGATGACCACACTGCAAACTTGACTGAAAGAATATAGTTTGCATGAAACAAAAGACTCAACACAATGACGCCAGTTACTATCCAGTGTCCAGTCAAAATATCTCAGGTAGGCTTCATGTTTGCTTATATCGTATCTAGTAATGATCTGAATACGATTTAAACGCTTAACCATGCATTTTTAGCAATAATCATCGTATCACTAAGAGTAAAATTTAATTATTGTGTTTAGATTATAGGACTTGTAGGGATTTTGAATGAATTTCAGTTGTTTCGTTTTCATCACCAACCAAAAGTCATTGAAAACCACCAGGGAGTAAGTACAGGACATCTGTTTCGTACTATTTTGGGACTCATTAGCAGTGCGAACCCACCATCCACCCGGCCAGCAATCGAATCAACTACCTTCAGGCTACTAGACCGACCTTATTGACCATTCAGCCATCTGAGATGGGATTCAGTGACTTGTGAATTCTAACTTCTGTCAACTTGTGATACAGCGCTACCTCCAACCAATGTCTTCGACGAGAATTCACCTCACCTTGAGTTGGTGGTCCTCACTGGTCAGAACTTCTCATTTCACCTTCAGGAAGTCGATGCAGTAGCCATCAATGAACTGGCAGTTGATACTCAAATTATAGATAAAAAAAGACGTAAACTGCGAAGAAAATTTCCTTTTCGACGATTCATTTTCATAAGTTGTACAGTTGAATTTATATTTATCAAAGAAATCACAAGACCAATCAGATACTGGTGAAATTTGTCCTTGAAAAAACGTATTACGTAATGTAGAGTGTAACCTAGAAGGGGTGACCAAATGGAACATTTTCCAGCTTAGTTAACCAGAGGAGAAAAGAAGTATAGTAGCAGTTCCATCTTCGAACACTTCCTCATGAATGCTTCACAGTGCTATACAGAATCCCTCAATATCATACAAAGGGATTTCGAATACGTCATCTGTACATAGCTGAATCATTGGGGGACTTGAAACCTGACCACTGCATTCAAAAGCACTACATATATTCACTTGCCCCACAGTGGCCAGAGTAAGTAAGTATGTAAGTTTACTATTATTAATATTATCATTCTCATCATCCATATTTTATTATCACAGTACTACTGTTTATTAATAACATTGCTTTTTCATACAGATTTTACAAAAACACTTTATCGTCTTTCCACTAGCTCCTATCCACTCTAAACGGTTATATTGATTAGTCATTTTCTCACACTTATTAAATCACGCCAACTTCTGCCTCTTTTCTTACTTCCGATTAGTCACTCCATCTAGATTACACCTTACATTACGTAATACTTTTTTTTCAAGCACAAACTTTATCAGTATCTGATTGGTCTTATGATTTCATTGTTAAATTTAATAACGGTTGTACAGCTTATGAAAATGAATCGTCGAAAGAAAGTTTCCTCCTCTGTTTACGTCTTTTCTTACGACTCAATATGGGAATATTTCGTTCAAATGATAGTATTTATGGGG